CAGGCAAAGGACGAATAAGTAATCAGCGTCATAGCAAAAGTGTAAGCTCACACATCGCACCGTTTTGTATAAAAGGCAGAACATTTAGCCCTACTGATAACAGAGTCTTCTGGAGCGAGTACTGGTACATTGCAACAAAGCAGCACTAGCAGCGCTCTTCAAATTGTTTAAATACAAAGTTTTTCAATTAATTGTACAACAATAAAAAAAAATAAGAATGCACTACTTTTTATATTTGACCGCTATATTTGCGCTGGTAGCCGCCGACGGCTACTACTATGAGGCACCCGCTGCGCGCACTCCTCTACTCTGGAGCACCTTATCGGCGGCTGCTCCACAATATCAATATCACACCCAGGACGGATTTGGCCAATACGCTTATGGTTACGGTGAACCGCTGTCCACCAAGCAGGAAGTACGCACTTTGGACGGCATCACGCGCGGCTCTTACACTTACCTCGATGCTGCGGGCAAATTACAAACGGTCGCCTACACTGCGGATGCCGATGGTTTTCGTGTGGCGGCTACTAATTTGCCTAAACAACGTTTGCCTTCGGATTCAAAAACCTCATTTGAGTTACCGCAGCCTGTACAGGATACTCCCGAAGTGGCGGAAGCGCGCTTACAGCATTTAGCTGCACATCAGCAGGCAAAATTAGGTCTGTTTCAAATTACTAAACCCATCACTCCTATTCCTGCCCCAACTCCAGTGTTAAAGGCACACTCTACTGCTGTTGAAAAACGTGTCGATCGTATTGATATACTGCCACAGTCCGTAGAGGATACGCCGGAGGTGGCCGCTGCTAAGGTAGAGTTCTTCAAGCGCTACGAGGAGGTTAAACAGCGTGATGAACGATTGCGCCAACAGCAGAAGCAGCTAGATGGTTATGCGTTGGTTAAGTCACAGCCTATAACTGTAACCGTGCCTTTGTCTTTGTCCAACTATAAACCGGCCATTATTCCAGGTGGTGTCTTCCGTTATGATATTGTTGCACCATCAAATAATCGCGAGTATTTGCCCATCGCAAAATTTAATCTATAAAACATTGATAAGTTTATTCGATTTGATTATTCTTTGTTTATTTTCGTTCATTAATAAAAGACAAATGCAATAATACTTCCTAAAAATTGTTTTGAAATTATTGTTAGCTGGAGGTACTTACTCCTACTGGGTAGTTCACCGGCACAGGTTATATCCTAAAATGATAGAAAAGATATTTTTCTGAAAACAACAATTTTCGGAAAACAAAGGAAACCCCCGAGAAGACTCGTATCGCCCGACACAACGCTTCTTTCCCCGGTCGCGAAGACACTTGAAGCTCTGCTTCTCCCATACTTTACCCACCACTAGACCCCTTCGAAGCACCAGCATGGTTTTCGTAAAGTGCACAGCACAACAATAGCACTTAACGCCAAAAACAGCCAGACAACTCGTGGCCTAAACCATAACCGCCTCTGTGAGAGAACAGTCCTAGTAGCGCTGGACCCGTCAGAGACGTTTGATACCGTCAGTCATTCCACGCTACTAGAAGTCGTTTAGGCTTCCTCTCTCCCACAGGTGGTCGGCGAATTATATGAATGGCCGGCAGTCGTCAGTAATGTTTAGAGATCAAACTTCAGAACCTAGAAGAATTAATCAGGGGGTTTCACAGGGTGGTATACCATCCCCCATATTGGTTATTTTCTACAACTCCGCCAGCCACCGGTAAGAATTTCCCTGATATCATACGCTGACAACTGGTCGATTTGATGACCTCTGCGCAAAAGTAAACGGATATCTCTCCGAACTTTCTCGCTTCTTCACTGCGGCTGGGTGCCTTCTGATGTCTCCTGAGCCCCACCGACATAGTGAGGCCCAAATATTTCCCATAAGGGAGCTCAATAAAATGTCCAGCAAGCAATTGGAATTCACAGGGAGTCGGTCACCACCTACCGCGATTCTCGGCCTATGAATGCCCCGATCGGAGCTCAATCACCAACTGTAGCAGAAACGGCGCTTAAACTGCCAAGAGAGACCCGCGATACTTAGGCCCAGTTACAGTCTGGATACTGTAGCCGTCTCAACAGCTACCGGTCCGGTCTCGACATCAACATTCCCAACCGTTAGTTGAGCTTGACGACAACGATTAATAGACCAACCGAAATATGCGGGGCGTAGTGGTGCCGCTACAACAACTGTATCGAAAAACCTGGTCATACAAAAACAACTATTCAAAATTCTTCGTGCCCCAGCTATCGGACGTCATTCTACTTACACAGGTGTAAAGCATCGTGGTGATGTCGTGCCAGTGACTGGCTCCCAATTGTGTGTAGGTGAGGTACATCGGCAAAGTTCAGAGGGTCCATAAGCCAGAAAAGGATCTTGCACATAAGAAACGAGATTAATAGAGGCGCCTATTTAAAGATCTGCATGCTTTTAATAAAGGACGGCATATGGAGATCGTATTGGATAAAATTGCAGAATGAATAGAGGAAAATTTTACTTATATAGGTTTTGCATTAGTCACTTTCCTCGGCATCTAACAGCTTTTAAGAACGTCCTGCCGGAGCAAATGATAAATCACTAGATCAGCTTGGGGTTTAAACCAACCCAATAAGGTTCATCTACAACTTTCTCTGCCATATTTAGAACAGTCCCGAAAGATCAGAGCAAGCCGCTATCTGCTGACCAGGTAGGTTTCAAACCTATTTATTTATTATTTATTTTATGGTAGGAGAGCTCCTCAAACAATATAGAAGCAATTTTTTTTAATATCTAAATCCTGGGACTAATCCCGGGAACCCGGGATTGTGATAACGACATCCCGAAAGTCTCGGGATCGTAAAAAGCATTGCCATAACGAAAAAGTAAGTAAGTGGTG